CTCACACTCATTCACTCGCTCACTCACTCACAAACTAACTGCCTTGCTCCTACACATTCCTGCATGCAGTCTTACAGCTGGAGACAATATACACTCCTCCACACTATCACTTTTGTAGCGATTTGTAAGACGCTCACTGTGGCTCTTGAAATGCCCTTACAAGCATGCGATTAGATACTGAGTCATTTGTAGCATTTACCACGGTGAGATGAAGTATTTGCTGCAAGGTTAAGATGTTGCTTGATAGTTAATATCAGAAGCGGGCTCAGTAAACGTTCTTCCCCTTTTTGCCAAAGCATTCAATGAAGTTTAAGCTCCATTTTTATCATACCCCAACAGAACTCACAGGTCTTTAATCAACCCGACACTGGGTATTTGACTCGTATAATATAAATCCCAAAAGACATTAATCAAGGCCAGTTTTTTAGGGTCTGTGCAGTTGTTCTCGGTTTGCTGCGCACACAGGGATGGATAAACAGTCAGTGAAAGGTGATATCAATGTATTTGCGGCCAATAAATTTGAAGAGCTTTGCTTGTAGATTTATATTGGACCATTGCTAGGTGAGATAAGGGGCTCCATTTTAGAGGAAGAGAGAAGTGGGACTGTGAGTGAAAGTGAGATTTGCAGGGTTTAATTTGCACAATCCCCACCATCATGTTTTTAGTTGTTGCCACTGTGGCCTTATGCTGATGTTCAATCCCCTCTGTTGGCATAAGGTGACTGTGGACTCCTGTGTGCCTCCTTTAATACACATGAAGTGACCAGGTGGTTCTTTTCATCAACAACTCTGGCTGTTGCATAATGCATGTAGAGGTTTACTTGGTTTAGTTATAATGGAAGTGCTTACTAATTGGAGATTTACACAATACTAAATTAAAAATGGTTGTGAAATAATTCTTACGTTAAGCTAAGTTGTTATATTTACACCCAGTAACTGGCAGGTGTAACCAACTGAACCAATTGACAAACAAATGTTAACTTGCTAATAATGTTTTGACTGAAAAGTAAAAGACATTAAATGGAATATGGTCAACACATCTGACATGACACTTAATAAAATGCTGACATTTTATATATAACAAAAAATGATGCCATTAATGTTTTCATAAAGACCTAATAATTTCAGCTAGGTTAGCGTAATCAGATACTTCCCACTAATTGTGAACTGCATGAACACAACTGACATATTTCTCCATGTATGCTTATATTAAAGAAACAGAAACATCACATTTACATATAAGAATTTAGAAGTAAATATACTGTTTCCCAAAAGTTTTGCTACAGCATGTGATGCTACAGTGATTTCCTGTGTTAATTACTTTCAATTAGAGGTCACTACTGATGATTTTCTAGCAAGAGTTTTTGAAGGACTTAATGTACAAACTCAATTAATGGTGCTGATGCAAAACAATTAAAATCCTCATATTGTCACAGATTTGAACATGCACCCTGCTCTGGGAGTCACCATATACTCCCAACCCTCAAATCCTGCAGATTTTAGTGCAGTTGTTTTGTTATTTGCCCCTGTGCCGTCCAGATTCTCAGTCTCACATGTAACAGGAGTTTGAGTTTCTATTCATATTCCTCACAGTTGGATTTTTGAAAATGAGCACTTCAAGACTTTCTTCTTCGGAGTAATTCGCTGTGAGACTGAGAACTAAAGCTTATATAATTACTTGACCTTTTATCTGTTTCTTTAAAGGAGTGGCCCTCACATGTACTGTATGACACATTTCTGTTTCATATTGGTAATGAGCTATTGTACATTCACATTCACACTCTATCTGGATAATTACCATTTCATATTACTGTGGGAAAAGCCCCCCTCATTCATGGGGTATTTTGTGCAAACTGAGACTCAGATCAAGTCTTGTTACGGATTTAAAGTTAAAACTTGAAAATGGTAATTGTCTTATTCAGTCCTCTTTATGGCTCACTTGAGAACGCCCCTGCAGACTCAGCGAAAATGTGGAGCAGATAGGCCAAATGAGTTCGTCAGTATTAGGATGAGGTACTCCATCTTGTTAGATTTCCTTTTCATAGAATGCTAGAAAACAGTTGCAGATTTTTTATTTAAATTGGTGTGTTTTCAGTTTAGTCGTCATGTAGCCAGTGATAATGTCAGCGTTACCAGAAAAAGATATCAATGCAAAGAGAATCTATCTCTCCCAGAAATATCATTGAACTTCCCATTAGAAGAGAAATGTTTCCACAATTGACCTTTTGAGGTGTAATTTGTAAGTGTAGCACGGAAGGGAGAAGTGTGCTAATTTTTTCACAATACTGGGGGTGTTTGAATATTAGTATTGAGCCCCTGCATTGGCTGTCATCCTTTTTCATTTACCCATGACTTCCGTTTTTTTTTTTTTCGGTCTGGGAACTGCTCCATTACTTTTGATTATTTTTAATGGCAAGCTCTTTTTTTTGTTGTACATTCATATTTGTCTCTTAAGACTTGAAGACTTGTTTTAATGAGCTCTCATAAGGTCTGCTTCCTTAGCCCCTGGCTAGATCCAGCTATGTGCAGCAGGCAACTCTACTAGACCAAGACTATATAAGGCATGAACACTTCCCTAGACATGAAGACATGCCATTCTTCCCTTTGACAGATATTATTCAGTGGGGAATGGTAGCTACACTACTCGAGTAGATCCTTGATTAAAACATATTGCATAAATAAAGTATAAGAGAGATTTTACTGAGAGCAATATGAGCCATTTGGCAGTGGATATACATGAAATGATATACAAATTAGTTGCTGATTTAAGACCATTGGCTCTACTTTGAGGGGCAAAATGTAGATTTTCTGGAGAGAAAGGCGCAGTCATTTTGGCTCCAATTGTACTGACATAGTGTTATGGTCTTTCCCACCTGTTTAAGCTTGCATTCCATTACAAATGCTAAAAAAAAGTCAGTATACTATAGGTGTTCCACTTCCTAATTTGGACAAATCATCTTTAACTCATTCTCTACTTTCCTTTCCTTCTCCCTCTGCCCTCTTGCGCCTGAGGAGGATAATCGCACACCCCCAGTAGACAGCATGGACACCAAAAGGCATTCTGCTGAAAGGTGACCTCCAGACACTTCACCTCCCCGAAACATTTGGTGAGTTAAGAGTCAGAGAATCCCTTGTATGCACAAATGACCCCACCCCACCCCCTGTCGAGGTTTGGCAGGATGTGCAGCTCCAAGCCATTTGCTAATGTTCTTGTTAGACATTTTAAATGTAGTCCTCCAAAACAGAACACATTATCTAATGTCTTTTTCTCAGCTTTTATCGCCGGTCAATGTGGAATTTTTTCCTCCCTGAAGCACTGATTGACTCATCCATGCTTAAGAATTGTCATTTTCCCCTTTGGCCTAAGTGGCGATAGCCTTCAATCGAAAAGAAATCTTTATTTCTCAATTAAGGGTATGTCTTTTTTTCTTAATGACCAAAGTATATAATGGTATTTTATCTGAAATAGCCTTCAATAAGATCAATAACCATTTTTAAAAAATGCACGTAGCAGTTTATACCTGTACGTGTTTGAGCATGTGTGTGAAAAAGAGATGGTAAAGGGTAATAATCCCTCATTATAGCATCAGAAGACTTGGCACTACTGCCCCTCTGATAACCACACAGAGGGAGTGCTTAAACTCCAGTACCTCATTCACAAATGTTTTCTTATTTTCTCTTTTAAAGAATAAGGCCAGCAATATGTTTTTGTCAACAAATCCTATTAAAAAGATCAAGTTTTGTCTGTCAGGCTCAGTAATCCACGGATTAATACACCATTGCAGTTCTCATGAGTATTCCTGGTAGCAGGATGGTTAATGTGGGATTGACCCAAAATCGAATGTCAGTGTAACGGAATGGCTTAGGCAATACTTCTTGGAGTTGGAGCAATGCATTTTTGGCTTTAGTTTTAATATCACCAGAGTTATCCTTTAAATATATTTGTTAAATCCGAAAAAGAGAGAAATTATCCATGAAACCAGTGCAGACCACTAAATTGTAAGTACCCATGTGGAAATGTTGGTGAATGATGTTTGATCTTAATTTGGATGCACATTCCAGGCAGTTTGTTATTAGCATGAGCGAAGGCCCATATAGGGCAGCAGTCCACAGTGGCGGGTGCAAACCATCTGTAAGTTATTACCTGTGGAAACTAAAGATCAGGGCGCACAAGACCAAAAAAAATAATAAACAAACATAATGATAATTGCCTGACAACAACAACCAATACCAAAACACCAATATCACTACCATTACTTTTACAACCACTTATAATAAATGCGATCTGTAATAATGTGTGATTAGTGGCCCAGAGAAATAGAAAGTGTGGGATAATGTGTGCTGCATGAACACAGTATACGTGTGGTTTGATTGAAAATAAGAACCCTAGAAATGTCATTGAAGGACAAGTATTAGCACCACAGGACGGGGACAGGCAGTTCCTCAGCAACTCAAATTGATATATGTGTTGGAGAGGTTTATTTTGGCAGACATAGGATGCTTTTCATTATCCTAATGTGTCTCCTTGTTTTTTCCCTCACTTGCTTCCTTTCCTCGCGTCTTAGCTCCTCCCAGTGAGGATGTTAGGGGGAGAGATGTGAGAAAGAGACACGAGGACAGGGGAGCCAAAACTGCTTAATGAGAAATCCTTGCTCACAGCTTCAGTAAGCAACACCAGTTGCTGATGCACAGCTGTATCATCTGTCAAACTGACTGGTACCAATGTCCACAGAGCAATATGGAAGCCTTACAGTATTCATTTAGATATTTCAATTGTTTAACATATTAAAGTTTATTACTGTTGTTGATTTTAATAATTAAATATCACTTTTAAATATTCTGTACAAATGTACATATTAATGTTATGGTTACCTATTTTACTTGTATTATTGTTATCTGCACAATAATGCACCACATAGCTGCATAGGAATATGCGTATGTCGATTGTAGTTTAAAATAGAAAAGCACAGAAAACAGACTGCTTCTTTGTGTGATGCACAACACTTTGAGGTTAAATGATCCTGTAAATTGTTATTTATCACACACAATGTGAAGATGCATTAGATTACATCTCACCATGTAACTGTGTGCTATTATTATCATGAGTAGATCACTGCAACACTACAGAGTAGAATCAACTGCGTGAATAAAGAATGATTTAATTTTGTTTTTAATTTTGCCAATTAGGTTTTCAATCATGCCAAACAGACAAATAACACTGAAGTTCCACACGTGGAGATGAGGCATTTTTACACCATGCCACTTGATAATAAATGACTTCTGTGTAGGATGCACTGATGTTTCCTCGCTTTCAGCTCCTCCAGAAGCCTCCTCTCTCCTCGTCTCCTCCACCTGCATTTAAGGGGGAGCGATGAGAGAGGACGTGAGGAAGCATTATGTTAGCGTGATAAAAAGCAGCCGATATTTCTGTGATTTCCCTCGTGAGTCCTCGTTAATGGTAACTTAACATGTGAAGGGTTTATTTTGAGTTGGATTGATGACAATGACAATTGTAAATCTAGTGGAGTATTTTTCACAGTATAGGTTATGTTTTATTTATTAATCAGTGGCCTTAAACCTGCCACAAAACATTTGGGTTACAAGTGGTCCTAACTGCACAAAAAAAGTTTTTGGGTTTTGTTTTCTGAATGAAAACAAATGTCAAGAATTATAAATCTATAACCTTGTTTAAAATAATTAAATTTATCCTCTGAGTGTAAGAGACAAAGGGCTGATTTTGTGTGATATTACTATCTACATGACACATCATGCTAAAAAGCTTGTTCTGTGATAAAATATTACTTCAACTCCTCTGAAAAGTTGCTATTAAATGAAGTAGCCTTTGGCAAGAGTTCCTCTTTATGGAAATCAGGTTTTGCACTGAAGTGATGATTGATAGCAGGCTTGCATTCATTTGAGAGTAGAGAACCTCAGGCTATAATCAATGCAATCTCTGTAAGTGAAACTAACACAAATAAACATTAGAATCAAGCAAACATAAAAAAAAATATAATTTTCATTCAATGGCCAAAGGCAAGGTTCATTTTTCATGGAAGAACTGGTGCCTGTGTACAGTATGAAGGCTGTACTCCATACTGAGTTCAGTGGGTTTGCAGTTTGTCACACAGCATATCTGTGAGTGTGAGTACAACAGCAGGAATGGTTAAAAGCACTCGAGCGTTGGATAGAATTCAGTCAGCGTGCATTTAATTTGGGTTCGCAGTAACAGGAGGCACAGACATGGTTATACAAGAGATATGGACGAGAACATTTGGGCGTGTGAGTGTAGGAAGGCACAGATAAACCATTTCTGTCACCTCATTTCTTAGAATATGATTACCTGTCTCAAGTAATGTGTTTGTCCCGCATTTATTCTGTCTTATTTGTTTGAGCTATTGGTTTTATTGTTAGATTTTATTGGACATTCATGATGTTTAGTGGCAGATTGTTATCACTGATATAAGGTTTAAAATGCTTTGAGGATTTTTGTTTATCTGAAACCCACAATTTAAGAGGTTGCTGAAAACTTTCCGACACAGAAGAATATTGATTCCAGAAACTTTAACACATGTTGTTCGGTCTAATTTGTTACTGAATGACTTTTCTAGTTAGATATTAAAGTACTTGTATATGCATGACATTTTCTTATCATTTAAAACATTTTTTTTGCAGTTGTTAGTGTAGAATTACATTCAGTATAATATTAATCAGATAAATAATCTACTCTTAATTCATGCATGGATGCAAAATGCATCATTCAGTCCAGAAAAGTCTTATCTCGTGCAGGAATTAAGAATAACTTAATTCAATAATGAGCAATTTGTTTGGGAGATTACTAGCACTCGCAATAATCTTCAAGTTGTGCAAGAGTAATAAAATTCTTTATTTTTTGCTTATTTCTGTGGGCTGGATTTAGATGTTTCAAATGTTGAAAATTAATCATAACAATATGCAGAATATTTCATTTACTCCACTTTTTAAAGCCACAGGATATAATATTCAGTGACTCTTGCTGGATATCGTAACCATGTCAGTCAAAATCGAACTGATGGAGTGTTTGTGAGAACAAAAGGTCAGTGTATACTGAGAAAACCAGTCCGGTGGGACTTCATTAGGCAGCAGGGTTCTGTATTTTAATACTTCAAATATTATATTTAAAAAAAAAAGTTATTTGGTATTCAGCTGCAGTTCTCAGGGGCTCATACTTGCAATTACAGAATAATTCTTGACTAAGTTAGGAAATCTCTGATCTAACAAGTCCATTAATACACACATGGATGCACACATGCACATACACACCCACACACACACACACACACACTTACACTACGCTTTGTCTAAGTCTTTACTGTCCTCACACTGTTTTGACGAAACTATTGCAAGATTCTGAATTTTTAACACTAACACTGCAATGTCTGCTTTTAGTCTCCTTAAAGACTCTTCAACTGTGCCAAATGGGAACCTCAGTCTTCAATAATCGTTTTTTAAAGCGTGGCAGCAGTTGTCAGTGTTGTGTTTTCTAGGAATCTTGTTTTTTGGCCCAAATCCTGATCCAAGTCATTCAATATTTAGCATCTGTTGATTCCAGAGTTCCAGTCTATTTTTATATTAACATCATAGCAGCACATTGAATTCTAAATTAGACATATGCTAAAATTAGTAACACAGTTGAGACAATTGACATATTCTACACTTTTTTTCCATGTTTCCCCCCACATATTTTTTTGTTCATTGTGCAAAACACTTGAATAAGAATTGTCTGTATTTTGTATAGTGCCTAAAGTTTCTGTTGCTTCACGTGATACTTTTAAATGTAGACTGTTTGGATCTGTTTGGACAGCATTTTGACAGCCTCTCTGTCCCCAGCGCTGAAGTTCAAATACAGTTTTTAACCGATTGCAGAGCTTGAGAAGCACCGTACTAGTGCTGAGTGTTTCTGAAAGATACAAACCTAACTTTTTTTGTGTTCTCTATTCTATGTCAGTATATATGTCTTCAATGAAACAGCTAGCTAGCTGCAGCTCAGTTGCTCTCTTGTTCACTTAAATTGTTATTTTGCAGTAGTTATAGTGTTTTAACAGAGCATAGTGGGACATTTTGACAGCTG